TGCGTGGAGCACTGGGTGTTATGCACAAACAATGAATCATGGAACACTGCATCAAAAACTAATGATGTAATGTATGGTGGTTAACATAACAATAAAAAAAATTATTAAAGTGTGTAGCACCTTAAAAACAACATATACACGTAAAAACTGTGAACTCAGAAATCTACATCCAGCAAAAATGTCCTCAAGAATAAAAGCAAAAAAGAAGAATTTTTAGATAAAGGAAAGCTAAGTGAAATGCTAAATGATATTCCTGTATCTTCAAGAATAAATGAAATCATAAAAATTCATAAATATAAAATTATATTAAGAGAAATTATAAAATACAAAAGAATATCTTCCTTCTAATTAAAAAATACTTAAGACTACTTAAAGCAAAAATTATAAGAATGTATTTAGGAGTAATACATATAACTACTGCAAAAGTAAGTAAAAGTAAATAAATATATAGGATTATGAAGCTTCTACATTTTTTTTGTGAAGTGCTACAATGTTAACTCTAATAGACTGAAAAGTTAGGGAAGTATACTATAATCCCTAGAGTAATTGACCAAAATAAAAGGTCTGAGGATAAAATGCCTACATGTAAATTAAAATGGAATTCTAATAAGAACTTCGAAATAATCCAGAAGGCAAAAAGAGGAGAAAAAGGGAACAACAAAAAAAAAGACTGAACCAACAGAAAACAAACAGTAACTTGGTATACTTAAATCCATTTCTATCAGTAATTACATTTAATATTAATAGACTGAACACTCCAACTAAATGTTATAAAACTGAATAAAAAAGACCTGACTATATGCTCTCTATGGAAAACCTAATGGATGCCTAACAATTAAGCCTCAAAAATACATGAAACAAAAAGACAGAAATAAAGTGAAAAGTAGATAATTCTATAATTGTTAGGAAATTTTAATACCACTTTTAGAAATTGATAGCACTAGTCAAATATCAGTAAAATCCAAGGATTTGATTAATGCTATCAACCACCTTGACCTACTTGATTTAAAAAGTATATAAAGCAGAAAGGAACAAAATTACAGGGAAAAATCCATAGTAATAGAGATTTTAACTTATCTCTCTCAAAATTAAAAAATCAAACTATAAAAAATCAGAGAGGGAGATGAACCATAAGAGAATCTTGACTCTGGGAAACAAACTGAGGATTGCAGAAAGGGAGGTAGGTGGAGGAAGGGGTAACTGGGTGATGGGCATTAAAGAGGGCACATGATATGATGAGCACTGGGTGTTAGACTGAACTAACGAATCATTGAACATTATATCAAAAACTAATGATGTACTTATACCTTGGCTAATTGAATTTAAATTAAAAAAAATAGCAGCTATCTTAAAAAAAACTAAGCAAAGATTTATAGTACAAAGAAAACACAATTTCAAGTTTGACCTTTGTGTAACAGGAAATGTACATTCTTCTCAAGCATAATTGGAAATTCATGGCAATTAATTGTGTATGTCTAATTTAAAGCAAATCACAGTAAATTTTGTAGAACTAGTATCATGCCATGTTCTCTGACTACAGTTAATTTAAAAACCTATAACAAAACATGTTTTTTAGAAATTAGAAAACAAATGTCTAACTCATAGGTCAATGGAAAATTATAATAGAAATTAGAAAATACCTCAAACTGAGTATTAATGAATATTACACATTTTTAATAAAATTAATATCAAAACTTAGAGGATACAGCTAAAGTACTACTTAGAGAAATTTTTATTTTCTAATATAAAAATAGCTGAAATGAAATGTAACAGAATGAACCTGAAGAATATGTCAAAATCACTGATATTTGCTTCAAATCAAGGTGGGGCAGCAGGAATTTAATCTGTTTATTATATTATGAGACACAGATGCTGATGTTTTCAACAACCTGTGAACAGAATTTCATCTCTTTCAACAGGAAAACAGAATTACAGTTGACCCTTGAATAGCACCGGTTTGAACTGTGTGGGTCCACCTATACATAGTTTTTAAAGTTTTTATTCAAATTCTAGTTAGTTAACATACAGTGTAATATTAGTTTCAGGTGTACAAGCTACTCTGGAAAGCAATATGGAGTTTCCCTGAAAAGTTAAAAATAGAACTACCCTATAATCCAGCTGTTACATTACTAGGTATTTAGCCAAAGAATACAAAAATACTAATTCAAAGGAATAGATTTTTTTAAAATAAATATAGTACTGTAAATGTATTTTTTCTTCCTATTATTTTCTTAATATTTTCTTTTTTCTAGGTTAATTGTAAGAATACAGTATATGACACATAACAGACGAAATATGTGTTAATTGACTATGTTTATCAGTAAGGCTTCTAGTGAACAGTAGGCTGTTGGCCCTGGAGGAGTCAAAAGTTATATGTGGATTTTCAACTGCATGAGGATCAGTGCCCCATTCCCCACACTGTTCAAGGGTCAAGTGTATAGAAAACAACCCAAACTGATAAATATGGATATGGTGAAACATATAAAAGTATCAAATATCCAATCAAGATGAAAAGAACTTGTATAGAAGTTGATTGTTAAGAAGAATAGAAGTAGAAAATTTATGAATAAATCATATTATACACATACAAATAAAAGGCATAAGGAATGGGGGTAGGGGGTGGAGAGAGGAACTAAACTCATCATAGAAACAAATAATTCTATCTGAGTGGGATGTATGGCAAACACCTATCCAAGTTTTCCATAATGGCAATCTTTAAATGAAGCATCTCAAACTAAGTGCGTAAAAGCAAAGTAATCTCTAAAGCTGCTAGGTTAAATGTTATAATAATTTAAACATTTAAAGGTGGAGCATGCAACAAAAAAGGGCATGGTACAAAAAAGGACAGACCAACACAAGATGGAAAAATTTCATCTTGTGATTTATGGGTCACCAATTATAAAAAACATAATACTAAATTTTATAAATGTGATACTATAATAAGTGCTCAGAAACTATAAAATAGAATGTGTTTGATTAACTGCTAGGTTTCGACCTCTCTATTCTTACAAAAAAACAATGGTAAGAGGAAAATATGGAACTCAGATTACCACTAATACTCTCAGAAATAATATGATCATCTGAATAAAAAATACTCATTCATTTGAACTTTTTATTCTTTTCAGTTAGGTAGACAGGTAGAACATAAACCTTAAATACTTCCTTTTGATAAGGAAGATAATAAGAAATACAATACACAGTAAAAACCATAGTTCTCATATTTGGTGGAATCAAATAGTAGAAATGGAAATAAATGAGAGAATCTAGAAAATGCCAAAACAGTATAGGAATTAGGTCTGAAAGTCAGATCTATATAATGTCATTCTCACTACCTCCTTAACCCTGAAGACTTCTTCAGATACATCAATCATCCATTATCCAATTTTTGGTTGGAAAGTCTATATATAAGTATCACAAAGTAGGAAAGTGGATAAACAGGGAGAGGGGAAGTACAGAAAATTTGGGGTATAATGTGGGGATCTGAAGGAGATATAAAGAGGTATTTAGAATCAGAAGCTACATCCTATCACTTTCTTCCAAACACACTGATACCACCTGTTGTACGTCAAGTCAAGGCACTGTATCTTCAGAGTTTATTTCTTTTGAAAGCATACACCTTACCATGTGGAATTGTGGTCTGGAAAGGACGACTTGGGCTTTTCAGGTTCCATAAGGTCAAGCTACCATCTGAATGGCTGCACATGAATTGTTTGCCCTCATGATGCCAATCAATTGAATGGATAGCCTAATGAAATAGCAATTAAAAACAAGTAGAGGGTGAAAAAAGTTGATATGTTATAGCATTCTATATTCCAAAGGAAAAATATTCTGAGATAAAATTATTATAGCAACAATACTTAAGAAACATACATAATTTTTCTAACCGAGATCATACTATCTTCGGCTTCAATCCTCTATAGGCTTATAGAAGACTATAAAAACTCATCTCCTGAGATAAAGAAAAGTTAAGTACATTTCATAATATCATTATAGCCTAGAACTTTTTGTTGTAAATTCTATGTCCTCCCTGTATCCTATATGATCCTTTGAAAAATTATTTATATAGAAGTAAAAGCAAGGTTATCGGAAGATAATTTCTGGAAAGGTAGAGGCTTACTTCCACTTAAAGTCGCCAATTTAAATAACAATTTACACTAAGAGCTACTAAGTAAGCTGGCTTACTATGTGCCAGACCCCTTGGCAAAGTATTGATATTAACTCTATTAATTTTGCAAAGAAGGTATTATTTTTTCCAATTTGCACATGGTGAAATAGGTCTATGGAAACTGATATATGTGCTCAGGTCACACAATTCAAAGCCAATGTCTATCTAACTACAAAACCCATATTCTCAATCATTTTACCATATTGCCCCAACATATATTTTTAAATTAACTTGGCAATTTAGGGTTTAAGCAAAAAGATTCAAAGTTTTTTTATAAGTTTACTCTGAAGATGTGAATTATATAAAATTTAAAATTATTCCATTTTCATATATTGTTTTATTCCCAGTGGTAGCACAGTGCCTTGCATAAAGTAGATACTCAATATCTGTTGAATGAATAATTAATGTCATCACATATTTCCACACCTTGTATTCTTTCTAAATCATAAAGTTTATATGGCCTTTCAATAATGTGCTAATCACAATGAGAGAAGCCCTAGTAGACATAAAAGCTGAACAGATATATACAACATTACCCTTTACTTAAAGGAACTTTCAAAACTGCAAAATAGGGAAGACTGAAATAAATGAATATTAATTAATAATTGTTATTTTTTGGAACTTCTAACATTTAGTTTATATATATATATATATATATATATATATACGATATACTAACCTAAGATATGTGTTTAAAACTATTATTTGTTTTCTAAATAAGAAGTATTATTAGAGTTACAGATAATTGATGGCTAGAGTAATCATTAGACATATCATAAAGGATGTAGGATATGAGCTGTACCTCAAGATAAGTAAGATTTAATTAAATGAAACAGATAACATGAAACCCTGGGCTTATGTTTTCTCTCACTCTGGTCTTTATTACTAGGTAAAGACTTTCTTTTTTTTTTTGCCAGGGTTCAGTAGAGACAGAAAGAAAACATTTGTCATCTTCTTTTTTGCTTATTCTCACTTTTGTAGGTGGCTCAAGGGAAATGCCACTTCAGGCTTCTTCTATGTGTTAACTTGATGAACTTCAGTCAATTTAAAGTTCTCTCAGACTGCTTTGCTATGAATGGTGTGGGCAGAGAGAGAGTCTCCAGCCCTAACCCTTCTTCCTATCTTACTGAATTTCTACCTACTAGAGAAGACAAATAGAAAAATAACAGCTACAACACAAAAGCAAAGTAAGTACCATAAAAGAAATATACTTATTGTACAAAAGAGTAAGCATATAAAACCAGCTTGTTATTAGAGAGTGTAAAACAGAGTATTACTGAAGAGTTGGCATTTGAATAGATTTAATGGATAACAATCCAATTCTTTTAATTTCATTATACCTTACCCCTTTCTTAAAAAACAACTTTAAGGGTTTACTAAAAAACAACAACAACAACAACACACAAATACAATACAACTAATTCAAGAAGAATTTTAAAAGATAGAAAACAAAATATGGAAGATAAAACACTAGCTGGTTTGGTCAACTCAGAGTCTGTGATCAAGGTTCTCCAAAACAAAAAAGAGAAAGGAATCCTAAAAAGCTGGGTACCAATATGAAAAAAGGAAAAACAGCATCTAGTCAAGGAATTAAAGGCTATCCTCTTTTCAAACTCTGAGAGTTTTCTCTGTGAGAGATTATTTAGAAATATTGATGTAATAAAATAAAACTTTCACAGCTAATAAGTAAATTCATGTAGTTATTTGTGAAAATTATCTTGGATTTACAAAACAAAACTTTCAATTCACCCATGGCTATTCAAGGGGCTACTTTGGTAGTTGAAATAGTTTTACAGTGGCTAAAAAGTTAATAGGATTTTGATATGCAAAAGAGGAAAGAAGGGAGTTTATGGCGAGGAATTAGCTGGAGCAAAGGCTTAAAGGTAGGAAATAAATAATATGTTTAGGAGATAGTAATATGTCTGAAGTGTGAGGAGTGTATAGAAGGATACACTGCATTAAACTAAAGGGAAAAATAATATCAGGGCCTTGAATCTCATGTAAAGTAATAAAGCCTTTGTATTGTTGATAATTGGGAGCCATTCAAAGGTTCTGAGGTGGAGAATTACATGACCTATGGCTTAAAACGATAATCTTATTAGTGAAAGATATACTGAAAAGGTAAGATATCAGAGGAAAAGTAATTAGTAAAAAGGCTACCATAGTCTTTTAGGCAAAACATAACAACCTAGACTAGAACACTGAATGTGGGAATGAAAAAAGAGAAGAAATGAATGAGAGACAATATAAAAACAGAAAAAGAGACTATAAAACTGATAGCATATGATATATAGAGAAGAAAGGATCAAATATGACTCTGAGGGTTACAAACGAATAAATAATCAAAATTTAAAAACTGAAAAGAGAACACAGAACAAGGTTTAGGTCTTTAAGTGTAAATTCAGTGCCAATGAGATATTTATCTGGACTTATGCAACAGATTTTTAGATACACAGATCAAGAGGTCAGGAGGAAGTTAAGGGTGAGAGATACAAGGATTTTAAATTTATTAGAATAAAAATACTTGAAATGATGGGAGAAGATATAAATATAAACTGGAGGTGAAATGAAGAGGGTGAAGACATAAAATCCTGAAGAGTATCTATAATTTAAAGGAAAGTAAGGAAAGAATCAGTGATAGAGAAAGGAAGGGTGAAAAATGGGGTAGAAAGACAAAAACAAGGCAAGAAACCATTTTAGGAAGGAGGGGCTGATGTAAAGACACAGGTTTAATGAGGAACTTAAGACTATGAAGGGGTCACTATGTATAGTAATCAAGAGATCTTTGATAACTTATTAGAAACCATTTCATAATAGTATTAAGAATTATTTCTAAATATGAGAGGTAAAGTGCTAAGGAAAGTTTTAAAAGTTTGGCAGTAAAATAATGTATATAACTATCTCCATTAAAATGATAGGATATATAATTATGCATCAAAGTAAATAGATTATATGCATATATACATGTATAAGTCAATATTTAAAATTATTTCTAGGTATAAAGTAGGTATAGTGTAGTACTCGACTTACTTAAACATTGCTAATGCTTATCTAAACACTTCATTGCAAAATTATTTTCGCTCACTTTTTAAGGTTAGAAGTCTTTCTTCTACAGTGTTTTAGGTTAAAAAAACTAGTTGATTTATCATTTCCTCTGGATTTCCTTTTTTAGATGACCTACTCTATTTCCAACTGGCTAAATACTCAGATAATATTTGTACTCTTATCTAGCTACTAGTTTTGAGAGAGGAATCTAATATCATCTTTGTACTTTGTATATTTAATAAAAGAAAAATCTAGCTTAGCTCCCCAGGACCTTCTTTCCTTATGATTCAAGATGCCCTAGAAGTTGATCACAAAGAGCATAATTGTAAGACATGACCTGCCAGACAGTATTTTTCACCAATCATGACCAAATTACCCAGTTCCTATATCATTTACCCCTGAACTCTTTATCACTACGAGAAGTATCTTATATATACCATAAAATCTTAGTTTGTCAGAACTATTAAGAAATGAATTGGGGGTGTGTATAGCTATGAGATACCCAAAGGCATATATCTTCAAGCACCAAAACTGAAAAATTCAACTGTTATGAGGGGATGGGAGGTAGCACACAAAGAAATGTGTTGTTTTTAAAAAAATTTTTTCTTTCTATTTATATCAGTGTTGCCTTAAATTCTGCATTCTTCTCATATAAGTGCAGGTGTACCAGATAATGATTATTGACTGTATTTTCTTCCTATCTCTCTCTACTCCACCATTTTTAAAATTGAATTTAGAGCTTACATGACCAACTTTATTCCCAAAACTATAAGAGGTAATTACCCTTTTTCACTTTTTGCCCCAGGCTATCTTCACATTAACTTCTTCTTAAGGGGGATATCCTTAATGGCCTAGAATCAACCTTTGAACAACTAAAGTAAAAACCTAACCAAATCTCAACTATGTACAATAAAACTCACTTTAAGATCTTACCCTTATTATTAAGTATTACTATTTACAAAACCAATCTTTGTTCTGAGATAAGGCCTTTCAAACTGACCTCTTAAAATTTCTGCCACAGAAAAAAAATTTTCTAAGAAAGGTGTGAATAATGTTTTAGAGATCTTAAGGATAATGAGGCAAGACATAATAACCATGTAACCTAATGGAAGGAAAAGGATAAGTAATAAGCATCGACGTATATTAAGATGCCAAAAAGGGCCCAAAAATAGTCAATCAAGGCAGAATTCTCATTCAGGAGAACGATCCAGAGTTGGAACTTGGGCAAATGCCAACACGCAGTATGAGACACTAGGTCAGACCCAGTTACTCAATGATAAAAATATTGGTAATATACAAAGCTTACAAGTAGAAAACAGGCACAAAGTCTCTTTTCAATAATACTCTTTTCAAATATTTCAGTAGAAGTCACTTACCTCATCATAATAAACTCTTAGTTCTGCTCTTTTAGATTTCAAGTCCCAGAATACTACAGTACCATTTTCATAACCTATCAGCAGCTGGAAAACATTAGAATAATCATTTTTATAATTCTAACATTAATTTTAACTTGCTCTGAATAAAGTTTAATGTTAATACAATAAAGTAAAATCATATCACATAATACAATTTTATTTAGAATGCCAATTTTTCCAGAACCTGAATATAGATTTCCTACATTTAAAAAAAATGGCAAACTCTACTTCAATAAATATTTACCAATGAAATCGTCCTTATTCCCAATTTCCAAGAGAAATTGAGGAAACATGTATATATATATATGAACGCAAAAATAAATAAGAAAAATTGGAACAAAAGAAAAACGGGATAGAAAATGAAGATGAAATAAAGGATGAAATGGGATAAGTTTAATAACCAATGTATATGCAGTTCAGTCCTATGCACTTAAAAAGTATGGCCACAAATTTGGCATCTAATTTCTTTATATCAAGTCCTATTTTCTCTTTGACTTATGTCCGTATTTTAAACTGGTGATTTATGAACCCTTAGAAGTTCACAAGGTATTCTAGAGATTCACACCATTAAAAATGGTTGATATTTATAAATCAATACATAAGACAACAAAATACATGGTTTCATTTTAAAATAGAAGTATTTGAGAACAGATAATGATTAATAGATGATCATATTCAAGACTCAGTGAAATACTGCTAGCCATGCTGATGATTTTTATTATCATATAATTCTGAGTTATTATTTGTAAATATATTTTGTTAAATTTACTCTATCATTAGTTTAAAAAAACAGAAAGGATAAAAAGAGGGCAGTGTTCAAATAATGATAATATTGCCCATGAATCTGCCTTCAGATGATTTTCTTGAAATCCATTAGTAGTATTTCTCTGATGAAAATTCTTATACTGTGCCTAAAAATGTTTCAATAATTCCAAAACACTAGTGGTAAAAATAGAAAATAGAGTGGTGGTTATAAGCTACTCCTATACAGCATCCTGAGACCTAATCACTTACCTCAACATTTTATAACAGAACACAAAAAAATGACAAAACTAAATGAGCTAGTTTTAACAGGAAATTTAAAAATTTCACCTAACAGGTCATGAAATCAATGTATACTTTTGAAGCTATAACATATTTAAAGATTTTATTTTTATTATTTTTAACCTTTATTTTTTAACTAAAAATTTTTTGAGTATAGTTGATCCAGAATGCTATATTAGTTTCAGGTGTACAACATAGTGATTCAGCTTCTATGTTATTCTATGCTCACCACAAGTGTAGCCACCATCTGTCACCATACAACTTTATTGTAGTATCATTGACTATATTCCCTATGCTGTGCCTTTTATTCCTGGGACTTACTCATTCCATAACTGGAAGCCTGTATCTCCCACTCCCCATCACCCATTTTGCCCATTCCCTACCCCTCTCCCCTCTGGCAACCATCAACTGTTCTCTGTACTTATAGATTCTGGTTTTTGTTTATTCATTTGGTTTTCTTAGATTCCACATATGAAAATAATCATATTTGTCTTTCCTAATCTGATTTATTTCACTTAGGATAATACCCTACTGGTCTATTCATGTTGTCACAAGTGTAACAATCTCCTTTTTAATGACTGCATAATGTTCCATTGTGTATATACACCACATCTTCCTTATCCTTTTGTCTATTGATGGACACTTAGGCTGCTTCCATATCTTGGCTATTGTCAATAATATTGCAATAAACATAGGGGTGCATATATCTTTTTTGAATTAGTGTTTTTGTGGGTTTTTTGGGGGGGGGTAAATACCCAGGGGTGGAATTATTGAATCATATGGTATTTCTTTTTTTTTTAAGATTTTATTTATTTATTTGAGAGAGAGAATGAGATAGAGAGAGAGAGCATGAGAGGGGGGAGGGCCAGAGGAAGAAGCAGGCTCCCCCCTGAGCAGGGAGCCTGATGCGGGACTCGATCCCGGGACTCCAGGATCATGACCTGAGCCGAAGGCAGTGGCTTAACCAACTGAGCCACCCAGGTGCCCCTATGGTATTTCTATTTTTAATTTTCAATGGTAACCTACTGAATGGGAGAAGATATTTGCAAAAGATATATCTGATAAGGGGCTAATATCCAAAATATATAAAGAACTTATACAACTCAACACCAAAAAACAATCTGATAAGGGGTGCCTGGGTGGCTCAGTTGGTTAAGTGTCTGCCTTCGGCTCAGGTCATGATCTTAGGGTCTTGGGATCGAGCCCCACATCAGGCTCCCTGCTCAGCGGGGTGTCTGCTTCTCCCTCTCCCTTTGCCCCTCCCCACTGCACATGCTCTCTCTCTAATAAATAAAATCTTTTTTTAAAAAAGCACAATAATTTGGGAGTGGAGTCTTTTGGGTTTTCCACTTAAAGTATCATGTCATCTGCGAAGAGAGAGAGTTTGACTTCTTGGCCAATTTGGATACCTTTTATTTCTTTTTGTTGTCTGATTGCTGTTGCTAAGACTTCTAGTACTATGTTGAACAATAGTGGCAAGAGTGGGCATCCTTGTCATGTTCCTGATCTTAAGGGAAAGGCTCTCAACTTTTCCCCATTGAGGATGATATTTGCTGTGGGTTTTTCATAAATGGATTTTATGAAATTGAGGAATGTCCCCTCTATCCCTATACTATGAAGAGTTTTAATCAGGAAAGGATGCTGTATTTTGTCAAATGCTTTTTCTGCATCAATTGAGAGGACCATATGGTTCTTCTCTCTCCTCTTATTAATGTGTTCTATCACATTGATTGATTTGCAAATGTTGAACCACCCTTGCATCCCAGGGATAAATCCCACTTGGTCATGGTGGATGATCCTTTTAATGTACTGTTGGATAAAAAGCTTATGCACAGCAAAGGAAACAGTCAACAAAACAAAGTGGCAACCCACCGAATGGGAGAAGATTTTTGCAAATGACACTACAGACAAAGGGCTGATATCCAAGATCTATAAAGAACTTCTCAAACTCAACACCCAAAAAAACAATCAAATCAAAAAATGGGCAGAAGACATGAAAAGGCACTTCTCTGAAGAAGACATACAAATGGCTAACAGACACATGAAAAAATGTTCATCATCATTAGCCATCAGGGAAATTCAAATCAAAACCACATTGAGATACCACCTTACACCAGTTAGAATGGCAAAAATTGACAAGGCAAGAAACAACAAATGTTGGAGAGGTTGTGGAGAAAGGGGAACCCTCCTACACTGTTGGTGGAAATGCAAGTTGGTACAGCCACTTTGGAAAACAGTGTGGAGGTTCCTCAAAAATTTAAAAATAGAGCTACCCTATAACCCAACAATTGCACTCCTGAGTATTTACCCCAAAGACACAGATGTAGTGAAAAGAAGGGCCATATGCACCCCAATGTTCATAGCAGCAATGTCCACAATAGCCAAACTGTGGAAAGAGCTGAGATACCCTTCAACAGAAGAATGGATAAAGAAGATGTGGTCCATATATATAATGGAATATTACTCTGCCATCAGAAAGGAAGAATACCCAACTTTTACATCAACATGGATGGGACTGGAGGAGATTATGCTAAATGAAATAAGTCAAGCAGAGAAAGTCAATTGTCATATGGTTTCACTTATTTGTGGAACATAAGGAATAGCATGGAGCACATTAGGATCAGGAAGGGAAAAATGAAGGGGGAGAAATCAGAGGGGAAGACAACCCATGAGAGACTATGGACTCTGAGAAACAAACTGAGTGTTTTAGAGGGGAGGGTGTTGGGGGGATGGGTTAGCCTGGTGATGGGTATTAAGGAGAGCACATATTGCATGGAGCACTGAGTGTTATATGCAAATGATAAATCATGGAACACTACATCAAAAACTAATGATGTACTGTATGGTGACTAACATAATAAAATAAAAAAAGAATTAAATAAAAATTAAAAAAGCACAATAATCTGATTAAAAATGGGCAGAGGACCTAAATAGACATTTTCCCAAAAAAGACATACAGATGGCCAACAGACACATGATAAGGTACACAACATCACTAATCACCAGGGAAATGCAAATCAAAACTACAGTAAGATATCACTTTACACCTGTCAGAATGACTAAAATAATAAAAAAAAAGGTTTCATTATTAAATCACATACAATAAATTTGAAAATCGATTTGACAAAAAAATTGAGCTTCTTTACATACTAAATTAAATGGCCTAATGACTTGCTAAATTCAAAAAGTCCAAATTAAGTGTAAACTTTAAAAATATTTGTTAAAATAAAATTTATATAACACCATAAATACTGTACTATTATGCATTTTAACTTCAAATCAGCTCTTTTTTACATACTAGAGAAAATGATGTATCATTAAACCAATTCCTATGGAATCCAGAGAAAGATTTGTAAGTCTAAAAAGTTTGCTAAGTTTCACTTAGCAAGAGAATGAATAATATGACCTTTCAAAATTTGAGCCCTAAGATGTAATGAAATAAAAATCTAAAATCCTATTATATTTTTTCATAGAAACATCTGAAAGATAGAAGTTGTTTTGTTTATAAAACATTACTAGCAATAACCACAGTAAATAACAAAATGTAAACTACCTAACCTCAAAATGTCATACATTATTGAGATAACTATACAATATTATGATATAGGAAGTATGAGAAAATATTAGAATCATTTAGAGAATTGAGAAAGAGAAAAGAAGCTCCTGATATCCAGGAGACATCTGACAAGGTCACTCTGTGACCATGATTAAGACAAAAACAAGATCACTCTGCAATCATGTCTGACCACACCAAACATGAGTATCACCTAGGTCACAAAAATATATATTACTTATGTTTTTATATAATTATATATTATACTCATATTATATATATATATAATTTCAAAAATTTATCTCTCACAAAAGAATTCAAGTATTGTGAAGGCAAAGAAGTAAGGTGACTTCCTAATTACTATATCATCAGGACCTGGAACAGTATCTGAAGAAAATAGGTATTTGATAAATATCTGTGAAATTAATTACTAAATACCACAAAATCA